TTAACAAATCTTCAAATGCAATAATTTTTTGAAAACTATAATTATCATTAGTTGAAATTATAAAACGTTTTTCTATAAATAATAATTACAATGTAAAATTGAATAAAAATTTTGTTAGAACAGCCGTTAAACTCAAACGCAATATAGTATTTACAAAATATTTTGTGAAATCGTATTCTTTACCCGTATTTAAAAGGTTTTGAAAATATTGTATTTAGTGTATTTATCATGGAGGTACTATTAATAACAGGTAATATACAGGTGCGCCAGAAGTCGCGCCCTAGAAAAAAAAGGTAAGATAACAGGAACATGTAAAAAAATGTTAAAAAATTCTATCTATAAAAATTTCGAAGTTACGTGAGTTTAAATTTTGCACTTTGACTCTATTTATTTCTGTTGGAGAAATAATTTTTCAAGTTTTTGTTTCAAATTTTTGTACCCTTACTAAATAATTATTAAAAAACATTACAAGATCATCAGTATTATTAAAATGACGTAAAAAATGTTAAAAGTCAAAAAATAAATGTCAAAATTTTTTGACAGATAGAATTTTTAAACATTTTTTCCGTGTGCCTGATTTCTTATCTTATTTGAAATTTTCCTCTGGGGCGCGAATTCTGACACACTCTGTATAATTATTTACAAATTTTTGTTTCTCTATAAGTTTTATTTACTATTAAATATTTTTACATTACTATTTTCGAAATTTACAATAAGAATGCCAAAATAATTCAATTTAAAAACGCTAATCGGAAGATGGTCTTTAATCAGTGTAAGACCTCTATTATAATCACGAAATCTTAGGAATTTATTTTTACAAATCTTGGAATTACATTTGCACTTCCTGGATGAAAAGCTTTGGTTGTCAATAGCACATTTCTATACATGTAATACCATTATTCTCAGACATTAAAATAATTAAATTTTAGCACGACTTTTTTCAGGTAAGAAGCTTATTACATTGTGAAAAAATTAACTAATTGAAATAAATTAACACGAAATTGTTTTTATTATATTTTATATTTATTATATTTTAATATTTATTATATTTTTACTATGAAAATAACCAATGAAAGTGGTATTTAACCTTTCTGCAACCTCTGCAACTGGTAAAGGCTCCAGACCCCCTGAAAGCTGGCGTATACCAATTACATATACATTTATTTCTTTGTTTTTAACCGCAAATTTGAACTTGAAGAGTTTCTTAATGTTTGTAGTGTTTCCTAAAAGGGAAATAAAGATCCGGATAATATTCCCGCTTTAAATAAATTAATAGATAATTTTTTATTGAATAAAATGTAAAAATCTTAATTATTAAGATTTCTTGATAACGGTACACTGTATTGAATTAAAAAAAAAACATTTTATAGGTAATTTAAAAATACACATCCCTGTTATAAGGCGAATTTGATAACTGTTCTTGATTCTTAATTCTTTGATATAAAGCAAAAATTAAATTGAAAGTAGGCAACTTTAATACACATTTCAACAACTTCGCAGCTACCTGGAGTATGATTTACTTTCGAGCCGGGCCGTACCGCAGGGTGTAACCCACAACGTTTTATTGCGTTTGTTCAAAGCAAAGATATGCATCTGCACCCCTCAAGAAGAAAATTGCTAGTACATTTCAAAACTTTAATTTTTTTATTATTCATCTATTTAAAAATAAATTTAAAAAATAGATAGGTTTAATATAAAGGCACTAAGCCTAATACGTAAACCTAAAAAATAAAATAAATAAAACATAATATTTATATTAATTTCACTGAGGACGGTTTGTGCGTAGAAATTATTATATGGGTTGGTCTTTACGGACAGCTCTAATTAGCCAAATTAATTTTGTGTTAAAAACGATTATAGGTATTTGTGGTGAGACACATATTATGTTTATCGTTATTGTGTTATGTGTATTACAAAAGATTAAAAAAAAAACTAAAAAAAAACAAAAATTAATTTGCCCAGCAAGAACCACGAGGAGGTTTAGAGTATTCTTGGCAGGAAAGGGAAAGAGTGGTATCAGAAATGATTTATTATGGAACGAAAGAAAAGAAATTATTGGTAAAAATATATTAGGCTATTGCAAAATGTTGTGACTGATTTGATTTGGATCAGTTTGTGAAATAGGAGTGAAAATAAAAAAGAAAAGTAACGAAGGCAAGTTTTGAGATACAAATTTTGAGAGACAAAAAATACTAAATAGAGTACTATTTTTTTGACAATTACTTATTATCATTTATTACTGTCGATTTGTGACTTGTACTCTCCATCTAGTGACCGGAAAGCAGGGTACTCTCCAATTTAGCGACAGGAAAGCAGGGTACTCTCCGATCTAACGACCGGAAAGCAGGAATTTAGCACTTATCACAGTAACAAATGAAATAAAAAACACTACCGTTACAAGTTGTTACGAGTACAAACAATTATGTACCGACTACGTCTTGAATCAATTATTTCAGGTACCATTGCATTCATATAAAATTTTTATAGACAATCTATTATTTTTCCGTACCAATATTTTGAATCGTCTCTTTCAATAATACAATATTCTAAATCGCAGGAGGTGTACACTATAAAATAACATATTTGGCGATTAGTAATGTGGAGCTGAACTTGTACTTGATACATATAATTTATTTTAATATATTTAGTTTTAAAAGAAAATGATACATATCATTTTCTTTTAAAACTATTTTACTATTATCTTGAGCATCTAACTCAAAGTATTTAATAAGTTTTCGTTCTATGGCAGTTTTAATATCTGTATTTCTCGCGCTAAATGGACATTTAATTTCAACAATAGCATTTGAACCGACTAATCTGGTGTTGCACCTAAAAAAATTTTTTTCTTCATCAACAAAAAAGCTGCATGACTCCACCTTGAAACCTGTGATTTGCTCAAACCTTGCTTTTTCTTCATTGTCAGTACCCCACTGTAGGGGTTCAGGCAATTTTTTAAATTTAGACACACCTACACTATATAAGATATTTTTTACAGTATTTGCTGTATTGGTTTTACATTTCATATTTCTAATTCTTCCAAAATTACTAGCTGTTAATCTGTTGTTTCTTTCTTTATCCCACTGCTCATTATTACGAATACTTTGACCAATTGTTTCAATAGGAATTTTTAAGATATCGCAAGAAGCTAAATCATTCAAAAACTCACTTTTTATTTTTTCATATGTATCCATTGGCATATTATTATTATGTCATCAGTCACACCAAAATCGGAATCTGCACTTTAAATACGAATTTTTCTTTTATTTAATTTCGCAGCTTGAGTTTCTGTGGTTTTTAATAAGCGATTTGAAAATTTTGTGGTGTAGATAACATTAGTACCAGATATTTTTTCCATAAGTTTAAATACAAATTTGTTGTTGTTATTAAAGTTTAAAACAGCCGCAAAACATCTTCCACGAAGAACGGCGATTTGAAAAATTTATTCTTTTCCCTCCAACAAGTTTGTTAACTACTGAATTAAATGACTCAACAGAATTATTATCGACATAGCACAAAAGACTTGAAGATAAATTTGCAACTCTTTTTAATGCCCACAGGAACAACTCAAACAAAAAACTATTTAAAAAATCACAATATGCAACTACATTTGTTATTTGACCAACTGTTTTACAGAAATACGAAGCGCAATTTGAATGATCACCAAAAATATGTGCGGTTCCATTTAAAATATCATTTTCAAGTTATCTGTTTTTTGATAAATTGTACAGCTTTCGTTTTTTCTGTATTTTATAGCTGAAACAATTGCTGTTCTAAATTTCAAGTAATTGTTGCGCAAGAATGTCAAAAATAAAAAAAAATAACTTTTTTTTCACTGAATCGGAATAATGAAGTTTTAATTACAGATTTGCTCGTTTCAAGTGAAGCGAAAAATGTTTCTCCTTCGCAGTTTTGGCGTAAAATAAGATAAAAAAAATTTTCCTCTTGTAAACTCAATCCGGGGACATATTGTATATTTAATATTTTGGTGTTGTTATTTCGACAATTAAAAGATCTATTGAATTTTAAATCAAATTGAAAATTGTGTATTTTTTAAAAAGTTCAAGCATTTTTGTCAAAACAAAATATTTTCAGTTGTAATAAGACTATTCCATAATTTTGCCGCTCATCTAAGGATTACAACTTTAAATGTTGTATTCACATTTTATCGATAAAAAATTTCATATAAGTTACTTTAATTTTTATTATCATTTTCTAAAGGGAAATATTAAAAAAAAGCGTGGTTCCATAAGAACTTTTTGTTCACCTTATACATAATAAACAAATAAATTTATGGAAATAGAGGAAAAAACTGCAAAGAAGAAACATTTTTTGCTTCATTTGAAACGAGCAAATCTGTAATTAAAACTTCATTATTCTGATTCAGTGAAAAAAAAAGCTAATTTTTCTTTTGATTTTGGATTTTATTTCTTTTTAAGTCCTATCACATTGGCGGTTTTATCTATTTGACAACTATAATTAAGTCCAAAATCAAGAGAAAAATGAACTTCTTATACTTTGTAGAAAGAGAAACTGAAATAAGAGAAACTCATCGATGTTGAAATTGTGTTTGTTTATATTATTTCCATTTTATCATTCCATTATCATTTTGTCATTCTATTTTATGACTAAAGGGACCAGGCACCCCGTAGATTTGAGCGCTGCCACAGAATGCAGGTTTAGAAAAAGTATGCAACTTTCAGTTCACCATTTCTGAACAATTCATTCGGTCTCCTAGAGCCTAGGGCGACAACATGTATTAAAACTGCATCTGACGTTTTAAAATAGAACGCAAAAAATTACAAAAATTACAATTATGTCTGATCTTACAACTTAAACAAGTTTAAAATTGTAACTGCGATTAATATCATTTTAGGTAAAAGAATGGCCTGTCGTGTGGCAAAATTTGGAAATTGAATTTGAATGTAATTTGTTGATTTGGTTGGGTGCGACATGTCAGCAATTAGTCGTGTTTAAATTCTGAATCAGTGTTTTTGTTGCAGGTTACAATACTTACACATACAATGAAACTGCTCACAGTGAGCGAGTTCCCGACGAGATTTTGTCAGTGCGTTACGAAGATGGAAAATGGTCAAAGCCGTACTACGACTGTGGTGGCGGAAACATCTGGATGCTCACTTACACTGTTCCGTTTTTTGGCTATTCGAACAATACCTACTACTTCAAGTGAGTATTTTCTTCCTCTTTTGTTTTCGTAATTAAATGTCATTCACTTAGGAAAAAAACGCAACTCGACTTGCTCGCGTTTTTAGCTTATTACGAGTATAAGACAATATTTGCAGTGTGCACTTTATAGTTTCAGCAAACGTAATATTTGTTTATTGCTCCTAAACATTAATTTTAATGACTTCAAGTCTTCAATCTAGGAAGATAGTGACAATGCGTTAAATTTCACATGAGAAATGTTTCCTGAAAATTCAGTGAGAAAATTTTTGACGGAATATTCAAGGCACTTATCTTTATTACGTATTATACCACTCAAGTTCGCTTTGTGCAATCTCATCACTCTTTGTGTGTTATAGGACTAGTTACTCACTTTACATATGCTCTATGTTATCTTTGAGCTTTGTGCATTGTCATTAACTGCAGTTTAAAAATATAAACTAAAAATACCATTCTCTCGCAAAATGGCATCAGTTGCAGCTCCTTTATATTCTACGACAAAGAAAAGGTAAATATTTATGCTTTGACTTTTCTACAATTTTGTGAACGCTACTTCAATACCATTTGCAATTTATTTACAACATTGTATGAATACGTCTTTGATACCAATACTGAATCTCTAGTTTTATTTTAGTTTTCACATATTTGGCGAAACTGCATTTGCATTTTGATATTAAAAATCTGTTTTGAATGGCAAATGATACAGAGTGACAAGTTTTGAAACGTATTGTAAATACGCAAAAGAGCTTCTTAAAATTTCTTTTGACCGAAAACTTTATGTTTATTCTGGGTTCTAGGACACAATCAACTATTTTTATTGCCAAAAGAAGAGAATAAAACAATTGTTTATAAACTTTTTGAACCTTGCAGAACCTTTTAATATTGTTCACCGTTCTCGAAACTCAAAAATATAAACATTGTGTTTATGCACATTGTATAGTATTATTACCACTCATACACGATGAGAGAATGAAAGGTTATGATCAATAATGAGTAAAAAATTGAAAAATAAGTTAAACAAAACTTTTTTTATTTTTGACAAATGTCAATAAAAAATACCACACCTATACCTAAATAAAAATCCTACCTAAATAAAGAAAATCGATTCACTTAGCTATGAACAGGCGTGGCGTGAATAATGTAATATGGGCATCAGTTTAAATTATCTAAAATTTTAAAATCTAATAGTGTTTTTAACACGGTATATTTTGGTAACTAAGACACTTTTATTAGATATTTTTTCAGTTAGTTGTTATTTGGCATAACCCATTAGCGCAGCCAGAGATAGAGTTTACTTGAAAAATTAAGTAGGTATGTCTTAAAAATTTTCAGAAAAGACAACCCCAACATTTTCAATGTCTTAATTCAATATATTCATACAGAATTACACAAAAAAATTAAAACTTATTTTTTGCATTTTTACAACGTTTTTTGAACTCTCAATAGTGCAAATAGTTCAGTTTTGAAGCTTTTAATTTTTTCGATTTTCGTCGAAATCTTGGGCGATTTTCGGTACTCGAAGAAGTTTATTGTTAATAACTTTGGAATTATTGACGCTAGTCTTTTGTGTTTGGTACCGTTAGAAAGCAAATTTAATTTTTTATCATATAAAAAAAGATAATTATCCTACTTTAAATAGTTATCGAGAAACTTGCTGATAGAGTCAAAAATATCCAAAATATTAATTCAACTATAACTTCTAAACGATCAAGAATTTTGCAGTTTTCTCGATGCCAATTGATTTCCCGGAACATTTTTCATATGTGTCCATAAACACATTATTATAACGTGTGAGGTATAGTTTTGTCGCAATTTACAAAATAAAAAAAGTAAAAATTTGTAAATCTTCTGAAGTTGCGCCACGGGAATGCAGTAATATTCAATTTATTCTAATTTTATGCTTGCATTAATGGGGAATGTGCAACAAGTTGATTCTATTTGCGGCGATTCTAGCAAGGCATTTGATCGTATTGATCAAGTTTTTGAAAACAGTAAAAATGTGATATTTTATTTACATTTTGTTGGCGTCATTTGGTGTAATTTTTTTAATGAAATACAGTGTCCCACGAGCCTGAATTTTTTTTGAAGCAACCAACCAATGTCCACATTATCTGTGTAATGTAATTATTTCAGAGATAACGTTTATATTAAAAACATTTAGTATTAAAACATTAAACATAGTGTCCAGACAAAATTTTAACTTTAATTTATAAAAATACAAACCTTGATGAACTTGGTATAAGATTTGCTAAAATTTTGAGCAATGGCGAAAAGACCGACATGATTCTCATTTATGGAAAATGTTAAGAAACGCTTCGTAGGTTGCACGTTTATATTCAGCGCGATATCAAAATAGACGGTCTCCGAGATAAACTTTGTCAAAAGTGAAAATACGATCACTATGTTTAATAATTAAAACCAAATGTTTTAATATGCGCGTTATCTTTGCAATGTAATGTTATTTCAAAACAATTTTCAGTCTGTACATTTGGAAGTGTCAATAGCTTTATATAGGTAATAGAATTGTAGCCGTTTTACGCATTGTATTTTTTAGAAGATGCAAAATATTGATGTTTTATGGATTTTAGATTACATTTTATAGTTTAACGCAAGTAAATGTCTGCTGCAGTGCTACATCTTATTAAAAAAAAAAACTATTACGGTTTATGCTAAAGCTGGTCATAATATGCGTCGTTCTATTTGTTTTTTTAGTGAAAATGTGGAGTAATAGAAAATAAATTTCTGTTTAGCTATGACTGCAATTTCGTTTACGCGATTTGAAAGTGTTGATTTGCAGTCGTGACAGTTGCAGTAAAAAGCCAATTTATTAAGGTGTGATGAAAAGTGTGGGTTGTAAACTGCGTGTTGTCAGTTGTAACAATGACAGGTCACGCTTCAGCAGGATCAAATATTTATGCTTGAATAGTGGTTTTAGTTTTATGAATCAATAATCGAGCTTTGGAATGTGAGCATTTTATCTGTTAGGCGAATCACAATTATCTGTACACACGAGGCCATTGTTGTTTTGACAGAGTCAAACGGATTTGGAAAGCATCCGAATGGCATAAAGCGGATACGCGACGTTCATCAGCAGACATCTTTGTGCAGACCAGCGGCCCTCACAACAAATCACACAACTATACCACTCATTTTAACGCAACACCATATATTATACACCTCGAGTTACTGTGTCTGACGTTTACATCTGCTACACGAGACTTTCCCCCTTTTTTGGAGGAAACAGATGTAAACACTGAAACTATCCTCTGAGGACGACGGAGGATGATGTAATCAGTTATCTATCCAATCAATAAAGGAAAATCAAAACTTATTTTACTAAGACAAATTGATTGAGAGCCTCCGAAGCCCGATTCTGTTTAGAGTTAGTTAGCTTTTAGATGAGATTTATTAAAGTTATTATTTCCTTTTTCCCTAGTGTTTTGCTCAAATTTTCGGAATCAAAACTTTCAGTGATATGACAATAACAAATACGAGCAATACCTTTTGGAGTAGCTTTTCATATTCTGATCGTTCATCAATCATATTTTCATTTCTTTGATAGTAAGCGGAAAAAAATGTGTGGGTGTGAACATTGGTAGTATGTACTTATTGAAGCATGAAAATAATATTTTCGTCAATTTTTTACTAAAATTTAATTGACGACACCGTGTTTGTGATAATTTGATGATTACTCATTTTATTGAATTTGTTTCAATTCCTAAAGAGACAAAGAACGTTTCTTTTGCTTTGCACTTTGTTACAATAATTTAATTTGACCACATTTAACGAAACATGAGCAATAAAAAAATAACATCAGAGATTTTTTAGAGCAGTGTTAGTGGGCTGAAAATTAAAACAACATTATAATAAAGTGATATCAGTCCAGAATCTGTCTATAAATTACGGCCTTTTGTGTTGCATGTTAATCGAAAAAATATGCCAAATCGATCGTTCAAATGTGATTAATCATAACACATATCGTACACTTTGAAACTTATACAGTGAATAATAATAATTAACCTTTTCATGTGCTAAAGGTCAGTTTAAACGTGCATTTTGACTAATTTGTATTCAAGTTCGCTCAATATTCATGCAAACTGTTCACATAAATTTTTTAGGCTCCTAAATCACCCCGTACCATTTTTTTGCCTTTTGCCTGTGTTTGAGTTAATTATAATGTGTGATAAACAGCAATAAATCTGTCATATCTGTTCGATCAAAGATGAAGTCTAACACCTCGAGTAAAATAGGTACTTAACGTTATCGAGCAGAATAAATTAAATTAATACATAGTTTATTTTTGTTTGGTTGTTTTGTAAGGAAATTCATTAAAAAGAAACGGTTATTTTAAACTTCAATATGTTGTCACTTCCAATACGAAGAAAGATTTCAGATTCAAGTGTGAATTTCGACTTTACACCTTCACAAATAGCTTTAACCATATACAGGATATCTTATTTATGCCGTCTGCTCCAACCAAATCGGCGCTCACAATAACTGGAAACTATATATTTAGAAAAATATTGATGCCAACATCAACTCTTTATCACCGGCTACACGAATTTTAGATTAGTTGTAGGGCAATTTTATATCTAACAAATAAAACTTTCCATGTTTAATTTAACCACATGCCCAATTTTTAATTATAGCATTTAGTAGAAAACTTGCTTTGAGATTTGAGATTAATTTATCTTTTTAGTTTTAGTATATGCTTTTAAGGAATATTGGTGCCGTATGAATTTTAAGAGTAACTTCATATAGAAAAACAAATTAATAGCGCTCTGAAGAACCAAATTCGCAACACTTTAGTGACTTGACATTTTCGTTAACGTTAAGTATAAAGTTTTAATTTGGTTTAAAAATTTATAAAAAAAGATTTCTAAAACACCGTTTAAGACACAAAACGTTGAAATTGCTTTTTTAGGACGCCATTTACTTCATTTAATATTTAATTGCTGTTTATTTTAGGGCAAGCCTTTACCTGCTTATACTCGGGAATATTC